AAAGCCATGTTGCTCTGGGGCTATTAAATTGTGGCTTTCCACATATTGCATCAGCACGTCTGCTACGATTGATTCCATCACTTTGGATAGTACGGGAAGTAGTGTTATTGAACGGTAGTTTGCAGGATCAGTGCGGCTACCTCCTTTATGGATAGGAGTGACGACCCCTTGCTTCCATACTGGTGGAATAAGGTTTTCCTCTAGACATCGCTGATAGAAAACAGCCAGTGGTTCTGCCAGATCACTAGCTACTGCCTGTAGAGCCTTTGGTCGGATGTTATCAGCTCCGGGAGAACTGTGGATACGCAAGGATAACAACTTCTTCAACACAGCATCCGTAGTGAAGGTGATGTTTTCTAAACCAGATGGTGGAGTATTAGAAATGAGGGGAATGTTTGGGCTCGACACTTGTTGGAACGTTTGGGAGTAATGAAGCCGTAGGAGATCAGCTGCTTCCATTGCTGACCGCGTGTATCCATCAGCCTTGACTAGCGCCGGAACCCCTCGCTTTACCTTTCGAAGGCCGTTAATGTGCCTGTACAAGAGTTTGTGGTTAGTGCAGAATCGCTTCATTAACTTCTGCTGATGCGTGACCTTGTCTTCGCGGATCAGTTTCACACAGAAGTTACGATGTGTCATGTATGCAGTCCAGGTTTCGGCATTCGGGCAACCCTGGTGATTTCGCCATGAAAAATCCCTCCGGGACATACATTTACGTGTTCTGCTCTTCATAAATGACTTACTCTGGTTTTGGGGTTGGAAGGACTTCTGTTCCGATGCTTGCGCTACCAGTGTGCTCAAAGTCCATGTAAACATATCCCAGGCCAGATCTGGGGGGCATTCGATTAAGAAAGTCCAAGATGTATCCTTAATAAGCTTGGACAACACATTGTAGTGCGTGACAGTGTGCAATTTATCCTCCTCCTTTTCCGGGTACTCGGCACAGCGTATATAATCAAAGAGTAGAGTGACATGATCACTACGACCCAGTGGTGTGCGTGTAACTATCCAGTCGAGCATGAGTTCTTCGTTAGTTAGCACACGATCCAGTATCGACGGCTTGTTAGAAGTTCGAAATCTGGTGGGAGAAGTTACGTAGTTGTAAAGAGGGTGGCTAGCAATAAGTTCTTGCAAACAGGCTTTAAACTGCGTAGCGTCATTTGCCGGCGTTTCTATGTCGAGCACGTTAAACTCTTCAGTGATAAGAATGTGGGTGTAGGACTTGTTCAAAGCAAACTGAAAAACGTGGTACAGTTTGGAGTCCATTTCCGACGTTGAGTTTGGCGGGCGATAAACCACGGCTAGTAGACATGTGTCCTTGTTTCGCAACCGAAGGCGGCACCAAAGCGAATCAGGAGCTCGGATTTCCGGGTGATCGATAACTTCACATCGGAGGCTTGTATTATAGTAAAGAATCACACCGCCACCCATTCCGGTTCTATCGGTCCGAAGCAGCGACATACCGGGTAACTTGATCTCACAGTCGGTTATCTCAGGGTTTAACCATGTCGCTGTAATCATGACGAGGTCCCGCGGTTGTGAGGCATGGAGTTCTCTAAGTTCGGCCAACTTGCTTCGAAGGCCTTGAGCGTTTGTGTACATGCAAGATAGGGCTTTTGTGGTTAAGAGTTCATTGGTGGATGTCAAGTTTGTGTTCGCTTTTAAGCCGGCCGTTAGGTGGCCGGCAATTAATCGTTTTTTGGTTTGTGTATTTCAGTCGTGTTACATGACATCATTGAGCGTTCCTGAACTGATGGTTCACTCGTGCTGTGCTCTGTCCTGTTGTGTGACGTGGGCGCTGTTGTGTCGGTCTCTCCGAAGGACTGTGCAAATAAAGAATTTGCAGGGTTTGCAAGTTCCATCGAATTTCTTCCGACTTTTGGTCGTTCGCCTGCTGCATTTAGCCGTATTTCTGTTTGCAACCTAGCTCGAAACTTTAACCAGCTATCCAACAGAACTTGCTTCATTCCCTCGGAGTGTAGTATTACCTTCATTAGCCTTGGACCGCAGCCCTTGTAGTTAGGTGATAACGGAACTCTTGTTATGGATTTGGCAATAACATTGTTAACAGAGAGTGTTTCGCAGATGTAGCACCACTGCACTCGGTCATGTGTTTGCACATCGTGATCGCGATAATGCAGGAGCTCGGGAACACCATGAACAAATATTGTTTTCTTGCTATCCCCATTAGCAATACCGCGTTGCTCCACTGCTTCTTTTGCGCGGTCTTTCCAAGGGAGATCAGGTAATATGCGCACTCCGCTCGGTGAGTTGCGAAGACGAACTGCTGAGAGCACGACAGCCTCTGTCTCATCTGCTGAGTTTAGAGTTACTCGAAGAATACTAGGTTCACCAGAGTGCACTGAGGTCGGGTGACGTGCTACGCGTTGCAGCATAGCAGGCTCAACCCGAATGCCAATCGCCTCGCAGATGGAACTCCACTGGTTGCGATCGTCTTGCAACTTGCCTTTTATTGTGCCAGATATGGATTCGGGAACATTGGTGCACACGAGAGTTAACGCAGCGTGGTTTTGTCTAGCGAGTGTTGGCTTTATAGTTTTGTCGGCAATTTGGGTTGTTTAGCAGGCACCACTGGATTTGACAGTGAAAGCTGTTTTGCGCCACGTGTGCTCGGTACTGAAGATGAACTTGTGTGTGTCGCTCCCGGTGTGTTCGTCGATGCAATCGATGCGTACGTTACCTGCTTGTTATCCGCACCGGATTTCCTTCGGCTGTGAGCTATCGGTGTCATGGCTGAATCTCCAAGTGAAGCGTCTATGGTTGGAGAAGTGGACGCAGGCATGTTTGAGGCTTGTCCACTTATGGGAGTGAGGTGACCCAATGGATTTAGAGTCACAGACGCTGCAGTGCGGTTGGATCGTCTAGCTCTTTTCTTCGGTTTAGACGCAGAACTAACTTTGACCGGGTGAGGCATTATCGTGGCCATATTTACCTCCGAGGGAGGGACCTTAGTATTTACAAATTGCGCGATTATTTCAGTCATCCTATCGCATTTTTTCATTAGCCATGATAAACAGTTGACAACTGGAATCACTTGACATGATGGGCAAAACCAAACTGTGTCAGCAACTTGCTTTGTCTGTCTCACTTCTTGGACAGATTTGCCTGCAAATTGCGGGCAGTACGGTTTAATGCAGCTGGAACAGGTAATACTGATCTTAAGCACTTTACTGCAGTTGTCTGCACAACATAGGCGACGCTGAACCACAGGAATGCTAGTTGTCCTCTTATTTACAACAACGCCTTGGTGAGTGTATTTTGCTCTAGGGGTGACGCACGAATAGGTCAGAACAGGCACACGAATTGAGATTTGTTCAACCGCACCAAGGTCAGGCGTAGAGGCAGATGGGGGTCGTAACGCGCAGACTGTCGGATTCAGCGATCAATAGACCTGCAGTGGTACACACACAAACAAAGCGGCAGCGTGTGTTAATCGGCCTGCCTTAAGCGACGATGCAGGTGGAGCGCTGATAAGCTTCCTGAGAGCTGCTCAGTTGATGAGCGGAGCAAAAAGGCTCTAAACAGTGTTGAATCGATGCAATAATATTTTGCAGCGGCTTCATGCTTGCTATTTACTGTGCCTTTTGGTGCGTTATGATATATGAGGGATGTGTGATTGTCTAAAACATCCCCAACACTGCTTTTGTAATATTGCTGCGATACTGACACAGGTTAAACTTCGCAGAGCAGTGTGATTTCCAATTATCGGGCACCGTGGCGGTGGTGTTAGCACATACATAAATTCTTCATGGTGCAAGTCGACAAACCTTATTTTTCGTCATTATGCGCAGCGCGTTAGCTGTTTACTTGTGAAATGCAGGCCTAGATACTTAAGTGGATATCGTTCGATTCTATTAACCAACATTTATATTTCTCCCAGCTGCCCTATAGCTGATGCTAAATACGTTTTTGAAAATTTTACAACTACCGTCAGTGAACGTCTAGATTATTCTCCGTGCGTTTTTGCCGGCGACAGTAGATGCGACAATAGTTTTATTACTCAGCTTGGACTGAAGAATATCATCCAGTCTGCAACAGGATTACAAGCAACTTGAAAACTGTTCCGTTTGTACCAAGGAACTGCTTGGAAGCACAAATCATACTACCATAAAATTGTCCCGCATTATTGAGGTAAAAAATTACAAAAATTTTATTCGCTGCAAAGATCGCAGGTTAACCCAGAGACAAGGTCTTCCGCAAAATGGTTGCCTTTACAGACTACACTATATTTTACAACTTGGTCATTTAACTAGAGGCTTGCATTTTTGCTTCGATATGTGTTGTCCTATGGAAACCATTTTCATTCGAGCAGATAGGTTTTCATCTCAGGGCCTTAAACACTGCTCAGACTCAAAGAAAAAGTTTACAAGTGCAAAGATGCCGGTTCAATAAAATCCTTTTCGACTGAGATAAAAGATGAAATGTGCCGCCTTAATCATATTTATGCCCAAAGTATACTTGGAAAGAATACTTTCCGAGAAATATAGAAAATGATGAAAAACCTCAGTGGAGTCATCAGAAATGTCACACACATTGCTCTTAATGTGGAGGAATTAAACCGCAACTTCTGTGGTCATATAAATGATTCAGCATTGCACTTTCCATCTTTACGGTCGCGACTCTCGGCACAAACTTTAACACCTGTAGGACTAGTTAATACTAGTCCGAGACGGTGCGCGGAATTAAGCGCGGATATCAGAAGGCAATTGGAGTCGGACACAGCGGACTGTATTCGATGGGACTACAACAAGAAACGGACGGATGAAGCGAGGCAAGAGCGTACACGTGAGCGCGGGAACTTACAAGGCAGTTGTGTGTCGAGCCGGTTGTAAGATTAAAACAAGAAGGAGTAATGTACAATCGGTCAACAAGTAAATTGTACACGAAAGATCAGAGTTATCTTTTTGGGCGCTACAGAGCTCCCCCCCTAGAAGGCTGAACATAGAAAGCCTTCGAAATCGAAAAGGAATGTTGAAACGGGGTTCGTGAGGCGAAATCGTGCCGAGTAAAAATGGGCGTGCGTTCGTGTAAATGGGGGTTCATCAGAAGTCGGAGTCCGCTGTGCCGTTTATGATTCGTTATTTATTGAATGCAGGGCAGGGTGCATTTCGGCGAGCCGTTGGAGCGGGCTTGTCGGACTACAAAAAACTGGCTAGTCCAGAAAAAGGCCGACAGGACCTCAACCTCCGCTGCTGCCAAACGGTGCGCTTGGGAGTGGTCTCTCCCCCCGCCGCACCCCGCCCCGCGCCAAAGCGACCCTCGTCCCACGAAGAAAACGACCACGGTCCCACGGAGAAGCGACCCTCGTCTCACGGAGAAGCGATCCTCGTCCCGCGAAGAAGCGATCCTTGTCCCGCGGAGAAGCGATCCTCGTCCCGCGGAGAAGCGACCAGTGTTCGCGTCAGGGTCCTCGAAAAGATTCCTCGTGTGGGCCAGTCGATCGAAGGGGAGGGTTGGGGCATGTAAAGACGAGAAAATAGAAAAACACGCGCAGAAAACGCCAAAAAGAACAAACGAATGATCTGCGTGTTTAAATATTTTTTGGTTTTTGAATATTTTTTTCGAAAAAGGTTTTTCGGAGGTTTTTTGATATTTTTGTTTGTTTTCAAAACGTTGATCGACCAAAAACGGGGCAAATATATACAATATCTACAAAGCTAAAAATATTTACACTGTACAAAGTCGGAGAAACGGACGGGCTTACGTACCTCCCGACCACGGCGATTGGTCGTGGGAGGCGGCGGACTAGATTCGGGAGATGTTGGAACGGCTTGTAGACCGAGATCGTGGTCTGGATGAACTGGACCAGGATGCTGTAAGCTGGTGCGATGAGTTGTGACGTCGCACGAAGCACTACTAGACGAAGTAGGCGAGGTAGTTTCTTCCATAAAGGCGGGTTTCAGACGGTCGACGGTGACGACTTCGTGTCGACCACCGCGGTCAATAGTGTACGCCTTACTCGCACGATGCAGCACCTTGAAGGGTCCTATGTACGGCGACTGAAGAGGCTGTCGAACACCGTCTGCGCGAAGAAGGACGTGTGAACACGTAGACAGCTTTTCGGGCACGTACACTGGTGTCTTCTGCGATCGAGGAGCGGGTGGACGTAACTCACGCATCTGGTGAGCCAATCGATCAGTGTAACTTCCGTAGTCAAAAGTGGAAGTACATGGGGCTGGTGCTACCAGCTGTCCGGGCAACCGCAGCGTGCAACCGTAGACTAGCTGCGCTGGTGTGGCGTCGAAATCAGTCTTAACCGTGTTTCTTAAGCCTAGGAGAACGAGGGGAAGCGTTTCAGACCATGAAGGATCTGCGTGCGCACGTAGCGCTGCCTTCAACTGGCGGTGAAAACGCTCCACCATGCCGTTAGCGGCCGGATGATACGCTGTCGTCTGAACGTGGCGACAGCCTAAATCTTTAAGCAACGTGGCAAACGTTGACGAAAAATGTGACCCTCGATCGGTGGTCACGATGGCGGGACAGCCGTATTGAGCTACCCAGCGCTCCATAAAAGCTTTCGCTACTGTTTCCGAGGAGCAATTTGGGATAGGGACGGCCTCAGGCCATCTAGTAAATCGATCGATGCAGGTCAGTAAATAAACCGAGCCTTTGGAAGGCGGCAGAGGACCTACGAGGTCGACGTGCACGTGATGAAAACGTGCGTCTGGCGTCGGAAACGTGCCTAATGGGCTTCTCGTGTGCTTGTGTACCTTCGCGCGTTGACACGGAAGGCAAGCAGCTGCCCAAGTACGGACGTCCCGATTAACATTGCGCCAAACGAATCGTGCGGTTACGAGTTTAACCGATGCACGAACGCCTGGATGAGACAAGCCGTGCAACGCGTCGAACACGGTCTGCCGAAACTCACGTGGGACGACTGGGCGCGGCGTGCCCAGAGATAGATCGCAGAGTATGGTGCCGTCTGATGATGTCAGCGGAACGGGTCGTATGTCCAATGAGGGAGACCTGCGTAGTAGATCAACCTCAGGGTCGTTAAGTTGCGCTGTGGCCATGGCTGCCAAGTCGATAGCAGTGCCGGCGTCAGCGGAGATAGCCTGGATACGAGAAAGTGCATCGGCGACGGCGTTGTGCACACCTGAGACATGCCGTATATCGGTCGTAAACTGAGCGATATAGTCAAGGTGGCGCGACTCTCTAGGAGAGTATCGGTCGGTAGTCGAGCCGAGCACGTAAGTCAGGGGTTTGTGGTCGGTGAAGACGACAAAGGAGCGGCCTTCTAGGATGTGTCGAAAGTGACGTATCGCTAGATATACGGCTAGTAGTTCTCTACCGAACGTGCTGTAGCGAGATTCGGTAGGTTGTAGGCGTTTGGAGAAAAACGCTAAGGGCTGCCACGTGTCGGCTACGCGTTGCTGCAAAACAGCGCCGACCGCGACGTCCGAGGCGTCAGTACTAAGGGACAGTGGGGCGGTCGGATCGTGATGCGCTATGGAAGCTATGTTGGCGATAGCCTCTTTCAGCGACTTAAAAGCAGCGCGTGCTGCGGTAGGAAATTCGAACGTCTTTAGTTTCCCTCGGAGAAGGTCCGTGAGGGGTTGCATCAGAGAGGCGCAGTTGGGTATAAATCGACGGTAAAAGTTGACCAGGCCATCAAAACGCCTGAGCTGTTTGAAAGAATGAGGCTCGGGGTAGTCGATAATGGCTTGAATTTTATCTTGCAGTGGCACGACGCCTGCAGAAGAGATACGATGGCCCAGGAAATTAACTGAATCGACACCAAACGAACACTTTTCTGCGTTGATCGTCACCCCGTGTTGAGATAAACGATCAAAAAGTGTTCGTACGTGGCGTATGTGCTCTTCTCGTGAAGAGCTTGCGATTAAAATGTCGTCAAGATACGCGTAAGCGAAGTCTAAGCCGCGACAAACTTGGTCGATGAAACGCTGAAAAGTTTGCGCGGCGTTCTTTAGGCCAAATGGCATACGCAGAAACTCGAACAAACCAAATGGAGTCGTCACGGCAGTTTTAGCGATGTCCGCCTCGGCTACCGGAATTTGGTTGTATGCGCGTACCAAGTCGATTTTGCTGAAGATATTTTTACCCGCCAGACTGGCGGTGAGATCCACTATGTGTGGGATCGGATAGCGATCAGGCGTGGTTACCGTATTCAAGGATCGATAGTCGCCGCAAGGACGCCAGTCCCCCGCAACCTTCTTCGGGACCATGTGCAGAGGCGACGCCCATGGGCTGTTGGACGGTCTGACGATACCAAGTTGAAGCATGTGGTCAAATTCGGCTCGTGCTGCCCGTAGTTTGTCTGGAGCAAGCCGTCTTGGTCGTGCGCTAACTGGTTGACCGCGCGTAACTATGTGGTGAGCGACCTCTGTCGTGACTGGTGGAAGCTCTGCAGCCGGTCGAACTAGTCGCGGGTATTCGGAGAGGAGGCTCAAGAAGTCGGACGGTGCGTCTGCGATCCGAAATACAGGGCTGATTATCGGGGCATCTGAAAGGACACCATCAACACCAAGTTTCGTACGGTCGTCTAAAAGTCTGTGGCGACCAGCATCAACAAGCAAGCCAAAATGGCGGAGAAAGTCGATACCGATAATTGCGAAGGGTACAGACGCAACCATGAAGACCCACTGAAAATCTCGGCGAAGATTGAGGTCCAGGTTCATCATGCGCTGACCGAATGAAGCTATCGGAGAACCGTTGGCCGCACGCAAATTGTACGTAGGCTTCGAGTGCTTGTCGCTAGCGGTCGCCGGGATGACGCTGACTTCCGCTCCCGTGTCGATGAGGAACGTGATGGAAGAACGTCGATCCTTAACGTAAAACAGTCGGTTTGCTTGGTTATTGAATGATACGTTTGTAGTGCTAGTATGCGGGCTAATCGTTTTCCCTGGGTCGTGCCTAATGCAGGGAGCCCGACAACGTCTAGCTCTTCCACCGTATTGGCGGTGATACCAACATACTTCTTCGACGGGTTTGACACTATCTGACTGAGAACTTGTAAGGAAAATGTTGCGCTTTCGTGCCGAACGTGACGTACTCGGTGCAGGCACAGACGAGCCGCAATGAACGGTGGCCAAAACGTGGTCAGCATTTGACCGTGGCACACGCTGCTTCGAAGCCTTCATTGCCGCTATCCTGCTGCGAAGTAGCGCAATTTCCTCGTCTTTAGAGTCAGATCGGTCTAGCGACTGGAAACAAACATGGGATTCTGTTTTCATCGTTGAGAATACGTCACCGGAGTTACTGGTCGCCTGCTGCGGAAAACGTTCGAACGCAGCGTCTGCCTTGGTAGCTAAGTCTTTCAGGGATGCATCTATAAACATGGACAGCATTACCGGCAATGGCTCTGGGAGACGTGCAAACCACAGCTCCTTTATCCCTTCTTCGCTCAAGAATAAGGGACCAGCGATGCGCTGAAGTTCGCGGAGCAATGCCGACGGCTTGCGATCTCCAAGCTTGAGACCATTGAGCTGCTCAAATCGTGCTCGTGCGCTGGGTCGTAACTCTTTCAATATCGCTTGCTTCATCGTTTCATACTTTGCCTCATTCGATGGGCAGAGTAGAATGTCCTCAATCAGCGTCACTACCGACGGAGGAAGGCGTGGGACGAGCTGATTGTACCTTGGACGGTCCGCCGTTATGCCCTTATTTTCTAGCTCGATCTCGAATATCTTAAACCAAACTTCTGGACTGTGTTCCATGAAACTTGGAACAGCCAAAGTAAGCATGGTTACGCTGTGAAACGACTCAGATGCCGCTCTCGAAATGTGAGTCGAAAGATAAAGAACGAACAAAATACGATAAAGTACTAAAATTACGCAAGAAACAAATGAATATAGGTATATAATCGAGAAAAAGGAACGAACTCACCAAAAAATACAAACGAGAAAAAAATTTGAATTCGCGCGTGCGAATCGGGGTCACCAATTTGTAGGACTAGTTAATACTAGTCCGAGACGGTGCGCGGAATTAAGCGCGGATATCAGAAGGCGATTGGAGTCGGACACAGCGGACTGTATTCGATGGGACTACAACAAGAAACGGACGGATGAAGCGAGGCAAGAGCGTACACGTGAGCGCGGGAACTTACAAGGCAGTTGTGTGTCGAGCCGGTTGTAAGATTAAAACAAGAAGGAGTAATGTACAATCGGTCAACAAGTAAATTGTACACGAAAGATCAGAGTTATCTTTTTGGGCGCTACACACCCACTGTGTAAAAGTTCACAAGGAACTAACATGGATACAATCGTTCAAAGCACCTGGTCAGGACGGACTGTCATCTATAGTCCTCAAGGAATGTGCTAATGTCTTAGCACAGCCATTTTCAGAACCCTACGCCACGTGTCTACATCAGCACAAGATAGCCGACTGCTGGAGACGCGCCCACATCACACCGGTGCCAAAAAGTGGAACCTGTAAGAGCTGGCCCACAGTTTGTACGTCTGTGGGTTTGAAGACTTTGGAAAGAATCATGCTTGAAAATATGCTTGTCCAAACCCACTCAAATGACCTTGTTCTGTTCATCTATCGCACTTCAACATTTGCTCCGGATATGTTAGCCTGTCTTGTACAATCCATGCTTTCATCACTCGATAGAAAAACAAACCGACGCGGACCTGTTTCCTAGATTACAGAGATGCTTTCAATTGTGTAAACCGCGAGCTGCTATTACTCAATCTACTAGTTTCCGAGTTCAAACTCCATTAGTATCTTTCTTACAGAGTATTTTGCCGAACGCACGCACCAAGAATACTGAATACTGAATACTGGTTCGAATCAGCGAGTAGAGCTTTCTCTGTGTAGCTGCAACATTCGGCGCACTTGGACAGATACCCCTTATTTATCGTTCCGCTCTCTATATTTTGCCTCTGCAAAGTGTTTGTCTAGGAACGTCTTAAATTCGGACACTGAGTTCGCCTCTACTATGTGCTGAGGTAGGTCGTTCCAAACATTCACTACTCTGCGTTCGAAACAGAGTTGGTGAGCTACCCGCTTCAACTCCGGTACGATAAGTTTATACCGGTGTCCTCGCGTGCAGCTTGGTGTGCGCAGATGAAGCAGTTGTCTCAACATGGGTAATCACTCAGACGTAATATCCGGTGCGTCATGATGAGGTCAACCCTCAGTCGACGATAAGCTAGTGTGTACAGCCCTAGTTTCTTACATCGGTCTTCGTATGACATACCTCGTAAGTTGGGAATCAGCCTGGTGGTTACATGCTGCACCAGCTCAAGCTTTTCTACCTCGCCCAGGGTGATGGGACAATATGTGGGAGAGTCGTACTCTAGCATTGGTCGTATTATCGAGACGAAGAGGCGAGTAGCAATCTCTTCGGACCAAGTGCTGAAGCTACGCCTGAGGGCCCAAAGCATCCGGAGGCTGTTTTGGTACAGCCTATTCGTGTTGTCAATGGACTTTAGGT